AGACTTACTGCTTTTGAGATACAAGCTTCTTTGGAGATTAAGCCAACTTTGGAGGACACTTACATCAACCTTATCTTGATTTGGGGAAAATCCTTATTCCTTTCCTTTTATTCTCATCTTCTCTGTGTTCAAAACCCAGGATTTTTAGAAGCAACATTATAGTCCACTCAACTGTTCATTTATTTGCAAACATCTTATGAATTCCAACATTTTTTTTTTTTTAGGCAATGTGCTGAGTGCTGGTAAAACGAAAATAAACAAAGTGCTGTCCCTTTCCCCAGTCGCTGGAGAAGACAGTGCAATAATGTGCTATTAGTGTTAAGACAGAAGTCTGTTCAGGGTTACACTTGGGGGTCACAAAAAGTGAGTAGTAAATCCTATCTCCAGTAATATCAAGACATGACCATATACCTACCATAGCTTAATTTTTTAAAATCTTATATTTGTACAGAAAATAGCATTAGAAAAATTAGTACCACAACCATATTTGGCCAGAAATCACATAATGCCTAATAAGTTCTGATTCTTATTACAAGTATTTATTATTGTTGCCCTACTATTACATTTGGCACATCTATGGGGTTTTTTATTTCCAAAATGTTTCACTAATCTTTAGCTTATTATTACTGACAGCTTTTTTTGTTGAAAAGATTTTCCTACAGCAAGGTACAAAAAGGCATTCTAGTGAAAACATTTTAAATTACGCTATTTACCAAAAAGACTATCTTTATGTATTACTGTTGTATTGAAATTTTTCTTTTCAGTCAAATTCCATTCATTTCTACATAATGCATGTCAATAACAGCTACCATGGAAAAATAACCACCAGCAAAAACTGTTTTCCTACCTGTCTTCATTTTTTTGCCACTCCTCATGTTTCTTTCCATTTCTATTTGTGAAAGTTTGAGTCCCTACTTCTTGATGCCCTTAAATCCATAATTACTTTTTATGACAACTCGTTTGACACCCACATTATAAATTATTCATTATTTTGAATGACGTCTTCATTTCAAATGCACTCTTGTACTCCTACTTTTTCTTCTGTATTTTTCCCCTATATTATTTTTATACCTTTAAATAATCTTGCTTTGAGACTTCTGGTATCTTTCTGTCTTTTTCTCTGAGAGATGCCCCTAGAATGCTGTTGCTACAGGGAATTTAAAAATCCAGTGATTCTGGTATTTCTTTTAGTTCACTCGTACTTCATTCCTGCTTTCTTCCTTTGCTCTTCCGGTTCTTTATATCTAGAGTGCTCTCTTCTGTCTCATCTAGCCTGTCCTTTGGCCACTTCCTTCAAAACCTGGTACAATATTAACTTCCTTCAGACAACTATCCTGGACTAAAGGACTCCAATTTACAGTTTCTCTTGACCTCAGGGAATGTCTATACAAACTATACATTTCATTCGCATTTTCTTGGAAAGTGTTTGTTTGTGTAATTTCATTCAGTTATTTAGTTACATATTTTGTACTATTTTATTATTTATATAATTACTACCTGCCCTAAGTTCTGATTTTTTCCTTCTTACTAGTTTTAATTATAACCATAATTTTGTACTATAAACATGCAATTGGTTGCTTAATATCTGTCTCTCCTGCTAGAATACAAGCTCTTTTGGCTAATCATTTATTGTTGTATGCCCCAAGCCTAAAAACAAAAACACATAGTAATTGCTCAGTTAATAATTACAGTATCTTTGAAATATCATTCAAATATTAATGAAATGAAAATTCTCACAAATGCTCGCTAATTTTCTTTTTTAAACACCATTTTGGCTGGAATTCTTCACACTTTTTGTAACAGGTGGGATGTATTTTGCTGTAAGATACAGAAAACCTTACCAACACAGACTTAAATCGAAAGACACCAGCTATTTACTTAGCCATAATCCAAAGGTGGGCAGTTCTAATGTTGGTTTGACTGTCCAATGTGGTCATGCAGGACCTAGGTTCTTCCCAACCTCCTCCTTAGCCATCCGAAGTTGCTGCCTTGCTACAGTATTGCATCATAATGCCATAATGCATCACAGCCCCAAAATGGTGGCCACATTCCCATAATTCAATGTGTAAAGCAGGAGGCAAGGAGAGTGACATCAAAAAACGGGGATATTTCCTTACTCGTCAATATCCTAGAAATCCCTCCAGCCCCAGCAGCCTTCTCCCCATTCCGATGACAAGAACTGAGTCACGTGCCTACTTCTGGACTAACAGTGGGCAGAGGGAAAGCAATGCTATTAATGTCCAATCCTGATTCATCCCAGTTTCTTTGGCAACAATAAAGGGAAACTGCTGGGTATGCAAGCAACACTGTACCTGCTCTTCTGCTTTGTTAAATGAACCACGCTGAAGCTGTTTTCTGCAGAATCCAGCTCTTAAGATTCTTCAGGCTTTTTCTTTTCTGTGTCTACATTTTAATCATTACGTCTTTTCTTTCACATTTTTTTTTCTGATTAAAATGGCCTTTTGAAACATCTACTCTCTCCACCCATAGGTGTCTTTTATTGAGTTGTTTCCATACTCAATTTCTGCATTCTAATTCTTTTTCTTTTCAAAAGCACTGAGACATAGCACATATTCAAAGGAAGAACAAAGCTTATTTTGCCCCTTTTTTTCCATTCCACATATATACATCAGATTCTCGACTGAATTAGGAGCCTCAGAAGTCAAGAAACCATCGTCTGCTCTCCTAACAATTGCCAGCAGCATTTCACAGGTGCTAAATGTACTTGACATGCCCTTCCCCTTTATGATTGTTAACCAGAGACAGAAAGACTTTAATAGGAAGCAATAGGAATCAGGATTTTAGTCAAAAAGTACCCGTCGCATAACAAACATCCTCTACTAATTTGTTTCTACTAAATTATCTGCATATTTGCTTCTCGCCAGTGTCAGGAAGTCCCAGAACACAGGGTATTTCCCACTTCATACCACCTTTTCCAACATCTTTCACAGAAAGGACAGACTTGGGTTTCCATGGTAACACAAGTGTGATAATTGAAGGTATCTGGCTATAGGTGAGATAACTCCCTTTCAGATTCAGTGGAGAGAGAAGAAATGAAGATTTTCTTTCTTTTTATTCTGGCAATGCACTTTGGAAACTAAAGGGATCCCACAGTGACGGTTAGCATTAAGTTTTCACTATCTTGCAGATTTACAGCTCTTGGGGAATAATTCAAATTTCTTTTATACCATTTTTATCTTTTATTTCCAACAAACAAATGAATGAAGATATAAGTTATTTCTATAAGCATCTCAGAATAGAGTTTATGCTGGCATAGGAATGAACATGACTAAGTGGTTAGAAAATAGACATTCATCTCCCACCCAAGTCCTCTAAATTCTCTACACGTCCTTATATCCTTTTTACGGCAGCTAATCTTTCACTCAACATTTCACATACGGCCACAAATCAGCTAAGTACCATCATTTAAGCCCGAATAGGTGAGAAAACATGCTCCAATCTGTCATGTTTCTTTTGCCTCGTGGTGGTTAAAAATCAACCTTTATGGTACAGAGCATGAAATCTGAGGCCTGTCAATATAAGGCCTGTAAATAAATGAGCTGTAACCATTCCATGGGCTGCAGTCTCTATACTCCTTCTTATCAAAAACATCAGCATTGATGAGAGGTCAGGGGAAATAGCCTGAGAAATGTCACAAAGCTGTCCTACTCTCTATTATGCTAAGAAGAGTGATGAGGGAGCCCACTCACTATTTTTGTGACAGCTTCAATTCAAAGCTTCTCAACATCTGGGGACCTAGGAGTCATGAAAACCGTTGCTTAAGGTGACCTTCTGGACCCACAATCTCAATGCAAATTTCTCAAAAACATAAATCACTGGACCTTTATTCCTTGCAAAGTAAATGGACTTGGAGCTCCTCTGTAATGCAAGGTACTAGATGGGCTGTCATGATCTAGAGAGAAAGCTTCATGCTTCCTTGCTCTGCTTAACCCCTGACAAACCTAGGAACTTCTTGTCACCAAGATGCACAATTAGAATCTTCAAAGAGACAGTCTGTCTTTCCTTGAAAAAGTATAGCTGCTACTAAGCTAAAGTAAGTATAAATAAGCATACCATTTTTACACAAAATATGAGACTTCTGGAAAGCTAGGTGAACACAATACTTACCTACATCTTCTTGAAACATCCCTGCCAAAGTAGCTCAGATATGAAGCATCCATGTGAGCTCTCTCAATTTTAATTCACTATTTCAAATTACTAGCCTAGGATGAAATAGTAGATCCTCTTCAGTTTCAATTCCCTTAAAAAAGTCTTGATTCTTAGTTCTTTTTATTAACACAATACCTTCATTGCTGATTCTGGTGGCTCAGATAGCACCATTCCTATTTTAATGATATGTAATCAGGAAGTGCTCAGTTTTATTTTACTACATACACATGTTTAAATTGAGGACATTTGCCCTCAATAATTTAAAATAAAAACTTGGTGCGTGTTTATTACAGCAAGGTAATGCAAATGTAAGTTATCCATTCTAATATAACGAATCTATAGGGAAACAGGAGACTGCTAAATTTGAGTAATCTTTGTACTAGTTTGATTATTGACAGAAAAGATAGTGAAAGATTACCTGGCTTTTAATTCAGACCAAAATCCCCTTGGCATGATGACCTTGCGGGAAAGAGGAACAGGGGAGAGGTATGCCAGGCTCTAATAATAGAACTACAGAAATGTATTATTCGTAGGAAAAGTGCGACAGTAACAAACAGGTGAGACTAGTTTGAGAAGGACATCGCTTAAAGAAAGTCAACTGAATAACCAGTTACTGCAAAAAAATAATGCAGGAATGCTTGGGGATGCAATGTCTCCTAAATTTGACGTTATGAGTGGGAGGGGGGGGTGTAACTAAGATGCAATGCTAGGGACAGAACGCTAAGTTTTAAAACTTAATAGTTAAAGAAAAAAATGTTTTGAAAGGCACGCCTGGAAGACTCATGCAACTGCTGCACGATGTCTCCTTAAGCACCGGGAACATTTCTCACCCAGAAGACAAAAGTCCCTGTGTTCTCGATTCAGCCCACATCCCTCAGCACCATTTCCATGCCCATCATTTAGGCAGAATGCCACGGAGACGACGTTAAAAGTGGAATTCATCACTCTGGCTTGCAACGCATCTTGTTCTTTTGCCAGAACAGGGCACAGCAATTGGCTCCTCAATCTCCGCCCCTCCCAAACCCCAGCAGCAGGCCCGGTCTCCACCCCGCCGGCCTCGGCGGCAAGGGGCTCGAGAGCTCTGGTTGGCTAGGCCGAAGTTCCGTCATTTGCCAGCTCGCCTACGATTGGTTGGCAGAGAGTGCGCCAAATGCCCCGCCTGGCGAGGAACTGGGAGGTAGGCTTGGGGGGTCCGGCGACTAGAGTTCTTTCCGATTGGTTGAAGGAGGGGAGTCACGTGTCACGAGGCGGCTCTCTTATTGGTCGTGAGTGGTACCATAGGGGGGAGGGACGTGATGTGGTTGGCTAGAAGGAATCCCAGCTTCCCACTAGATGCCCCCAGCTGGCTGTTGCTATGTGGTGTCCCTGGGCCTTCCGGCTGCCGTTCGGAGTTCCGCTCTCCGGGTTTTTAATTCACCGGTGGCTGACAGGGCGTGGGAAGAGCTCGACTTCAGTCCGGCACTGAAAGGGGCGGGGCTAGAAGAAATGTGGGCGGGACCCCGGCGACGTCAGCGACCGTGGACCCGGCTTACGTGGCATTTGGCCGCCTCTGACTCGCCCTTTGGGCGCACTATTGGATGGGGCTGTCACCCTCCCATCAGTGTCCTAACGTTCCAGGACAAAGCTTCATTTTGTTGCGTTTACACAACCTCAGGCAGAAGCCTAGAGGTGCCCGTCCCTTAGGGCTTCACATGCTAATACCCGATAAAACCAAAGCTCTAGGAGTGCTAAGACACTGGGTGGCGTCGGGCAAAGGCTCTTGCAGCTCCTCTTGGGCAACTCTCCCCCTCACTCCCCGCCTCAGGGTAGAGCTTGGCGGTGGCTCTGCCCCCTCGACCACCTCCCGTGTCGAATTCTGAGCGTGGGAGTCTCAGGTTGACGCTGTTCCCGGCTCGGGCGGGAACTGCGCATGCTCGGTACACAGGCTCGAGGGTCCGACCGGGCGCGCGGGGCGCGGCGCTGCTGCGCGGCCGCCGGACTTGTTTATATCCGCGCGGGCAGAAGCTTCCGTGCAGCGCAGAGCCTCCCGGGAGCCCTCGCGGCCGGTCGCCTAGGCGACGTAGGCGGGGGCGGGGCTGCGCCTCGGGCCCCGCCCCGGGCCGCCGGGCTCCGCCCCTGGCCGCGCTGCGGCTCGGGCTCGGGCTCGGGCTCGGGCGCGCGCCCCAGTGCTGTGGGTAGCGGCGGCGGCGGCGGCGGGCGGGGATCTGGGCGTGGAGGCACGAGGGGCGGGGCGGGCGGCACTGCGGGCCCGCGGCTCGGGCGGCTCCGGCGGCTCCGGCGGCTCCAGCTCCCGCTCCCTGCTCGCCCTCAGTCCCAGCCGGCACCCACGGGGCCGCATCGTCGCCCGGCTCGGCCCATGCCCAGGGCCGCTGCTCCCTCAGCTGCCGCCGCCGCCGCCGGCGCCCGGGGGGCCGCCGTGGCCGTGAGGTGGGGGCGGCCGCGGGAGGCGGCGGGGCGGGCCGCCGGGGCCGGGGCTGGGGGCGCAGCGCGGCCGGCGTAGGTCTATGTCGCGGGCGGCGGCGGCGGCGGCGGCCGCAGAGGGACGATGCGCGAGTACAAAGTGGTGGTGCTGGGCTCGGGCGGGGTAGGCAAATCCGCCCTGACCGTGCAGTTCGTGACCGGCACCTTCATCGAGAAATACGACCCCACCATCGAGGACTTCTACCGCAAGGAGATCGAGGTGGACTCGTCGCCGTCGGTGCTGGAGATCCTGGACACGGCGGGCACCGAGCAGTTCGCGTCCATGCGGGACCTGTACATCAAGAACGGCCAGGGCTTCATCCTCGTCTACAGCCTCGTCAACCAGCAGAGCTTCCAGGACATCAAGCCCATGCGGGACCAGATCATCCGCGTGAAGCGGTGAGCGAGGGCGCAAGGGGGCTTGGCGGCTGCACCCGGGAGTCACCGTCCCGGGGCCAGAACTCCCCGAGCCGGGCCCTGGGGAGGGGGCTGTCTGGCGGGTGGCTCCGAGCTGGAGGCTTTACTATTGTCATTCTGCTCCTCCTCCTCAATCTCAAAATTGAGTGCTTTGTTTCACAACTAAAATTTGGCATCCTGTTAGCCCACAGAACAGCTCTTTGTCTCTTGGACATGGTTAGCAGCGCTTGTACAGAGCCCCTAAGGAAACAAAGTTTAAAACTTGCAGGGGGAAAGGGGTGGATAGGTTTGTGTTGGGAAGAGAGGAGCTCTGCGGGTATAGGCGAGATATTTGCAGATTGAACAACAGCAACAAAAAATCTGCCTTTGCAATGTTTGACAGCAAAAATTGCTCACACACCTATACAGTAATGTCAAGTACAGAGGAAAGAGACCTTTCTCATCTCGTTAAAGGTTTATGGTTCCAAGGCGTTTTACAAAAATGAAGTCTCTAATTTAGTGCAAAACTTTAAAGACAGATTATCAAATTATTTGAAGACATCATAAGCTAAGTGGGTTTCGAGAATATTAACACAAAGGAGTACAAATATGCCATTCACAGGAAAAGAAGGCAGCTTAACTGTTTTTTGTTTGCTTGTTTGTTTTAATATAGTTCTCTTAATCCCTTCCAAAAAAAAAAAAAAAACACACTTCCTGGAAACAAAACAGAACCTGCTTCAAAACTGTGACTCAAGTATTAGCTAATTTAAAGTTAATGTTAATAAGCATATATATATATATATCTCAATTCTTTTCTAAAGTATACATTTTGGAAATATAGCTAATAGCTTAAATGATTTAAAATGTTTGTTTTTTCTTAAATTCACTTAGTGTATTTTTCTGTGTAATTTCAAGCATTATAAATGTGAAAATATCTTAGTTAAAAGCTTTGGCAAATTTTTATTACTATTTAATTACACAGTACTGTTTTATCTAGTTCTTGTTAGTTAATGCCTGCCGATAATTTCGGTGTCCTTTTTTTCCTGCCTTATTCTACCTGGACCCTAAATCTGAAGACCTTTTCTGAAGGATGGTTGTAAGTGCACTGTAGACGCAATGACATTGTCAGTCAGTTTGAGTCCACTTATTTTGAAAGAGCAAGGATCAAATTATGTGTACCCAGGGGATGCTCAAAAATTCATTACAAGTAGTGGGTATATAATGCAACATAGGAGATCAAAGAGAAGGCCCTCTCTCCATTGCTCCACACACCCCCCCCCCCCGTTAACTAATTGAGTATGCACTTTAATAACTGAACTAAAACCATGCATGTTATTCATCCTTGTGTTAAATTCCAATCTAGAATAAAGCAGGTATTTTCGTGGTCTCTGCTGCTAAGATTTGTGAATTTGATAGCTTTTTTACTTTTCCAGTCTCATTTTCCTATAGTTAAATGTTTATAGTTAAGAGATGAACAATTCCGGTGTTAAACTTAGGATGGCATTTAAGGGGCTACATTTAAGTGACTTAAATCCTTACTTATTACCCCTTCCCCCAGTACCACTTAATTAAAAAGAAACAAACCAGACAAACTGCAGGATAGTGTTGCCACATGTCAGTGTTAGGCCAAATAGATACATCAAAAGATAATCTAAGTAAATGCTCCAACTGCCTCACCCTTCACATTTAGATATAGGCATAAAGATATGAAGATGTGTATATACACTGATAAGCCACATACCCATGGCTAACTTCTTGACACACGACTAGGGAACAAATATGGCAAAACATTGTTGGATAATATGGTCCACATAATTTTATAGTTTCTTATAATTTAGTGCAGATTACTTTTCTCAGTTATAGGTTAGTCTAAACTTAGTATATTGAAACAATTTATTTATTTTCACTGTGACCCAGAGGAAAAAAATAGAGTAAAATTCTGCATGCCCAGATATCATTTTGCTCACTAGTCTCCAATCTTGATATAAAAACATCATTGATCAGCTGAAGTAGAGTCATACATTCTTTTCACCAGAATTCGACCATTGTATACGTAAGAACCTCTTGGACCCTCATTTGTGTGTCTTTGTAATATAATAGTAGTTAGGTACTACTACTACTCATCCTAACTCCAGCATCTGGCTTCCCATCATTGATGGAGAGGATATTTAAACCAAGATCTGTGTGAATGCTGGTAGTCTCTTCTTTACCAGTCTTTCAACTTGATATCTACTGTCAAATTCAGTATATTCAGCTTTAGGTCTAGGTCAGCACTTTTCAATAGAGATGCAATGCGCGCCACATACGCAATTTTAATATTCCTAGTAGCTGATTAAAAAAAATAACATAAACGTGGAATTTTAATAATGTATGTTATTTAACCCACTGTATTTAAAATAGAATCATTTTGACATGTCAGTATTCAAAAACTGTTAATGAGATATTCTACTTTTTTATACTGTGTCTTTGAAGTTTGGTATGTATTTGACATAGTACATCTCAATTCAAACAAGTCACATTTCAAGTGCTCTGTAGCCATATGTGTCCATATGGCAGCTCAGGCTGCCATATTGGACAACACAGGTCCAAGGCATATATGATTTGGGGAAGTGCTTAAGCTTATTTCTCTAAGCTTCAGTTTCCTTATCTATGAAATAGAGAATAGCATGCACCCCAGAGTCATTGTTAGAATTAAATGAGATAATATATTTAAAGATTCCCAAAATGATACCTAGTACACAGAAATTGCTCAAAAAATTCTAGCTGTCATTCTTTAATAATGTTGTCATTTATCTTCCTTAAATTTTACCCTTGATGTCAATGTAATTTTAGAAGAAATAAATTTGTAATTGCATTTTGGAATTAATTACTTAGCATAAACAAGGTGAGGCTAAAAAGCAATGAGGTTAAAATAATCCTTGGAAGAATGGTGTTGATATTCTCATGAAATATCTTCTCTATGAAGGATCTTATGGAAAAGGGCATGAGAATGAACATTTAATTTCAGGTACAGTATAGCACTAATCCATAGCCAAACAATGAATGGAGCTTTTCATTGGATTGCTATTACTTGGAATGTTTCACTTTTAAGAAATAGAAAACTGACCCATACTCCCTTA